TATATATATATATTATTTGCTATTTCATTCCTCCAGAATGAAGTGGCTTCGCTCTTTCATAAAAAATGATCTCGATCCCATAGAAACCAGGCAAGGAATTGTTGCGTTACCGCCAACGGCCTACAACCATTTAACTGGAGGCAGATAATGGTGCTCACGCAAACACAAGTCAAGAGTGAATCCACGCAATATAATAGGGACACAGGAATGGAGGTACGGCGTGTACCTGCAAAGTGTTTTTCTTTTGGTACTTTCATTTTTTTTTTTTCCCTTTGTGTCTCACACTGTGTTCTTCCTTTTAGGCTCTCCACTCCTCTCCCTGTGTGTCCACCCAGGCTACTCCACTAATCCCTGTCACTCCTTGGTGATTAACTGACCATCCCCACCTGTGTCTCATTAACGCCTCCCCTGTCTGTATATATAACCCTGGCTTCCAGGTTTTTTTTTCCCCATGTTGATTTTGTATCATTGCCTGCTGGCCTGGAGTCTGTTTCCCTTCGTCTGCCTCTGAGGTTCAGTCTGGACTCCAGTCACAAACTCAAACAATCCACAGTGGGCCAAAATTAAAAACTGGGACAAAGTCAAAAAAATGTATGGCAACTGTTTATGTTTTCCCTTCTCTCCAGATCTGTAATGTTGCATTTTTTCATATGGGAACAAACTTTAGTTTTGCGTAAACATTGAATCTGGAACAAACCAAAGCTTAATATTATTTGAAATTTGATTGAATTTTTTTTTTCCACAGGCCAAAAACAAAACCCAAAGCAGAAGATGGCTATTAAAAACTGGAACACAGGCCAAAAACAAAACCCAAAATGAATTAGCTATAAAATAGCTAACTGCTAATACTACAAATACTGCCAGTATATATTGGTGGGCCAACTTTAGTACACATTTGATATGATCTTGCGGGCCAAATATAATTACACTGCGTGCCAGATTTGGCCCCCAAGCCTGAGTTTGACACGTGTGTCATAAGGCATTGTTCAATCATGTGAGTGTTACAGAAGACAGTGAACAATATTTTGTTCATCAGTAGGAACAGATTGCACCTCCATGAGGAGTATTACTTAAACCAGAGATTCCCAACCAATGTAATCTGAGAGTAATTATCAAGAGTGCTGTAAAAAGTATCCAATTTCCATTAATTGGTCTGAACCATTATTTATTTACAACCCTTTTTCTTTTTTTGTCATACATTAGACACAGACAGGGCAATTAAGTACTCTACTGCCATTCCACTAGATGGCAGAAGATGGCTATTAAAAACTGGAACAGAGAAGAGGCAACAACTTTTGATGGAGGTCTTGGTGTGTTTTTCTTTCTTCAATTCCTACCACACTATCACGGTTGTGTTCAACTAAATAGGCCCCATGTTCACACTGAGTTAGTAAATTGTACCTTGAAAATAATAATAAGTCAATGTATATATACTTTCAGTGTCATGGTATTTTATAAGTCAATATATATATACTTTCAGTGTCATGGTATTTTTCTATTTGTAAAATGTGTACTGTGGTCAAAAACCCTGACTCATACCATAGCTGATTTTTAAAATATTCTCAATATATTACTACTAATTAACTGTTTTGTCTCCTTCTATTATGCACACACAACTACACAAAATTCTCCTGACAGTTCTGTCGGCCATTGCCAATGCTCAGACTGGCCACGGAGCAGTGTGTGCTGCGAACAGAGGCCGCCCGCGGGGTTAACTGTGTGGAGCTCTGTGAGACACGGCTGCAGATCAGTTTACAGCAGCAACACAGCTGCTGGTTGAACTCCTTTTTGAAGCTCTTGCTCAGCAGATAAAGCGCAAACGGGTTGAGGCAGGAGTTGGTGAAGGCAAGGATACGAGCCATTACACTGCACACAAAGTGAGCCAGTGAGGTGTCCACCTGCCAGCAGAGACACAAGGTAGACTGACTGACTGACTGATGAGACGAAAACAGTACAAGTATTCATTGACAGTCTTCACGAAATTATTTTCAAATGCATAAAAAAATGGCAAATACTATGCTATAATACTGGATAGAATTTCTGTTTAAGGTCGCTAAAAAGTACAAAGCAAAACAGGAAAATCTGTTTAGTGTGAAAATACTTCTTCTTCCATCATGGTTTGCACAAAATATTATTACAAATGCTATGCATAAAATCCTTTTCATATTGACAGACTTGGACCAACAGGGCTTGTGCCTGTTGTATTCTACCAATCAGAAACAGACCACCAGTAGCATCAGAAACACAGATAGTTAAATTGAAGTAGATTTACCTGGAAATAGTGGTAGGACCGATATAGGTAGATAACGTGATTGGGAAGCCAGCAAAGTGCAAAGAGAGCGACAAACACCAACACTGTCTTGGCCAATCGCTTTCTAGATTTAATCTGTAGGTTACAGAAAAGACACAACAAATTAAAAAAGATTAAATCAAAACTTAAAAATTATTTCTAAAGGATTTCTAAAAAAAAACAAAAACAAAATGTTTGGGCTTTCACACTCACCTGCCGTTTCGCATGCACGTTGCCCTCTACAGGCAGGTTGGAGGCACTTGTCAGCAAGCTGTGGGCAATGAAGGTGTAGTACACCGATATGATCAGCAGGGGGATTACATAGAAAATGAGAAAAGATGCCATAGAGTGGATCTTGGGATGCCACTCCCCAGCATGAGGATAAGGGGCGCAGGTGATGAAGCTCTCGTTGGTATTGGGAATGTAGAAGGTGTGTAGGTCAGAGTAAACGGCCTCAGGGATAGCCAGCACCAGGGCACACAGCCAGATGAGCGCCGCCTTCAGGACGATGGCAGTAGTGGTGGTCGACGTTTGGATTTCCAAGGGCTTCACAATGGCTTTGTACCTGCCAAAAAACAATCAAATAGAAACATATTCATATATGGATAAGTGCAATATTAGAGGGAGGCTTTTCATTTAGATCATATGTGTCAAACTCAAGGCCCGGGGGCCAAATGCGGCCCGCCAAGCCATTTTGTGTGGCCCGAGGGAGCTTAAAAAGCATTTAGTAAAGTCCATGCAGCAGAGTTTCTTAACCTGAGATATTAAAGCTTTTTATAATCAATTAAATAATGATTAATTGCAGAAACATGTATGTTGTCTGTTATGGAGTAGTTACATCTATGCCAGCGGTCCTCAACCTTTTTGGTTCCAAGGACTGGGCAGCCAATTAGTACAGACCTGTACCAAGGAGCTGAGCATTGGAGGATCATTACATTTTCAAAATAAAACATCATTCAGACTTTATTCTATATTAGAGTCTAAATTTTTATTATTTTAAAATATTGCCAGATTATCTCTAAATGGAGAAAGTAAATGGATATGACTGGATTTTCTTTGAATGAAGTGAGTTAGTAAAAATTAGGGACATTTTTTCACTGTGTCCAACTGCGGCCTGGTATCAAATGACCTACGGACTGGTATTAGTCCGCGGACCAGGGGTTGGGGACCCCTGATCTCTACAGTCTTCCGGCCCTTCAAGGGGAACTGTACTGCTGATGTGGCCCCCTGGTGGAAATGAGTTTGACACCCCTGATTTAGATAATACAATATTAGGCATATTTTTTAAAATCTACCTGTGGACTGCAAACAGCAATTTAGTCCGAAATGGAATTTATTGCTCTTGAGATTGATGAAGAAAATTCAATCAGGTCTGTATTTCTATAAATTCAAAGAATTTAACTTAAGCAGTCCATTTGTCATGACAATCGGAGCACATTCAAAGGGAAAGGTGTGGTCTACGGATTTTTACAACCAGGTTATGTACCTAACATCGGCAGCTTTCTTAACTGACATAAGAACTCCAACTGTGTTTGATCCATCCTTGCGCTTAATCCTAATAGAGGTCATGTGTGAGCTGGCACAAACTCCAGGGGATCAGTCCAAGGACTAAAACATCAGAGATTACTTTTAGTTCCCCCCTCCCCTCCCCCCCCCATATCTAAATCAATGGTGTGACGCGGTGATGTAGTGCTTTTAACAGAAATATAACTTTGAACCAGTAGCTTATAATGATCGTTATTGTGATGCAGTTGCATAAGAGAGCAGTTGTATTGAAATGACCTTGACTTTTCTGTTGGCTGGAGCTGAATGGTGGAAGGATTTAAAGACACGCAGGATGAAATAAGTTTGGACTTGAACATAATGGTCTCCGAGCGCCCTGCGGCAAACTGGCTCTTTGTCGTCTTAGTTATGTTGTGTTTGTGTCTAATGAGGGGGCGTTAGGGAGTAATGGCACTGATGACAGCACCACATTACAATTACATTCTTAAGTACAAACTTGAGATCGGGGAATGCCTGCACAAACTCCTTCGGTCATCTCACCTCTTATATAATCATTATATTATTTTGGTAAAAAAAAAAGAAAAAGAAAAAGGATAAGACTATGACTGACTTGACACAACCCAATTCCCAACACCTTTAAAAAAAAGAATAAAAACCCTCAACAGGCTTTGTTTAATAAAGGCAGCCTGTTTAATCAAGCTCCGATGAACGGAACACACTTATAACATGCACAGAAATAAAATGTCAGCTTTTGAAATTTTACAATGGAAAATCCCACCTAAAAAACACTCCAAACAGCCATCTTTTAGAAAAAACACTTAGCATTTTGGTTTACCATTTTACATTCAGATTTAGCTATGAATGTTCTTAAAAAGTGATTTTAAAAAAACATCCTTTTTAAAAAATATTGATTTATGATAAATATAACAAAACGTTGCTATTATTATATACTATAATATATAATAATAATTATATTATTATTCTCAGCATGAGCCACACTACAAACGGCCATACACGGATTACAGCGCCCCATATGCGCAACACCGGTCATGGCCAATTTTAATTTTTTATTTTTTTTTTTGATAAATAAATAAAGGAAATGAAAATAAAAGAACAGCCTTTATTAACTTCAGAGACTACATACCTGTCTGCAGAGAGAGCCGTGAGGGTGAAAACAGAGACTCCGACAGACGTGAGCTGGATGAAGGGAATGACTTTGCAGCCCACTCTGCCGAACAACCACTCCTCTGACAGGTACCGGCTCGCATCCACGGGCGCGCAGGTGACCAGCAGCATCACGTCTCCCAGCGCCAGACTGGACATGAAGACATTCGGCACGTTCCGGACAGTTTTGGCAGAGCAGAATGTCTTTATGAGCGTGATGTTGCCGACCAGCCCCAACACACTGATCACACCGTAAATGGATGCGATGGCCACGCCGGTGAACCACATCCTAGGTGCAAAGCTTTTTGATAGGAATCACACAAGTGCTACTCCTGCTGCTGCCAAAAACCTCCTGCTGATGCTGCGTTTCTAGAGGATTTAAGTCCGAGTGTGGCGCTTTCAAAGAAGAAAAAAAAAAAAAGAGTAAAGTTTTTTTTTTAATTGGCAGTGAATCTGGATCCAGATGATAGTGCGGTCTCGTCAGCGTGGGCTGTGTGTGTATTTCGTGGTCTCCCTACGAAGGCAGATGTCACCGTTGTGCGTACCACGCACAACTGAGCCTATCAAGAACAGTCCGTACCACTTTGACACATTTGAATGTTGGAAGGGATTTTTTTGTTCGTTCACCTATTCAACAAAAATAAAAACATCGAGTATATCTTTATATGCTGAGGTAATCTCCTCACATTTAATTTGACCACTAGTAGTGTTTAGTCCTGGTGTAGTTTAGTGTCACTGGAGCTGCCTTCTGTCTGTGCTTTTTCTTGATTTTTTTTATAGGATGTTTCTTATACCAGAAGGTACAAAACAGTTACCCACTAAGGGGCACTTGAAGGGCAGCACAGTTTGTCTGTAAGCCTCTGTAAGGCCCTGTGCAAACAAACACAAACCACAGAGAGTCCAAAAACAGTCAACTTGGCAAGAAAGTCCAACAAAAGCCCAAGTCAAAGTCACAATCAATCAACCAATCACTCTCTCTCTCATTCCCTCACACACACGAAGAAACCCACCATCCCCCCTCTATACCTCAGTCTCTCTTCATCATGTTCCATTCTGTCAGTCAAAAACAAAACAAGTGCAATATCAGTTCAATCTTTTCCCATATGTAGTGTTTTCATTCAAAATTTGTGTGCAATATCAGTTAAATCTTTTCCCATATGTAGTGTTTTCATATTTTGAAATGTTTGCAATACATTTTCACACAAACAGCGTTGTTATTTTTGCATTTAAAAGGTTTGTTGTGTATGTCTTTTTACCTCTTCCAACAATTCCCCCAATCTATTCTAATCTAATCTAATTTGAAAAAGAAAATCAACCTGAAAATATATCCAAAACTTTTCACTTTTTTAAATCAAGTTTTTTCAAATTCCCTGTCTTTGTCTCCACACAATGACACTGACTGAATTGTTCTGTCATTGTTTCTTTGATAACCTTAGACATGCACCAGGATTATTACTGGCACACGTTCTCTTTCTTACCTCAGTAAATCAACAGTGGCGAGTCTTTTGTGTCTCGTGGCTCGACTTGTTGGCCTGTTCTCCACCTGTCACTCCTTTGGTACCTGTGAAAGTACATTTGTTCCAAGGCAGCACTAATCTAATGGAGAAATCACTCTCTGCAGGAACCCTGTTCACAAACATGAGTTCGGGTAAATACAGCCAATTTGCTCGACCACCATATCTTTCAGAATCCAACCCACTCTCTGTCGCAGCACAAACACCCATGGTCTTTTAAAATGAGTCATAACCTTCCCAGTGGTGGTGATTATTTGAAGGAAATTCATACCTTTGCTTGAAGGTAGATTTCTTGTTCTCTTGATATTTTATGATGTTTCCTTATTTATGTTGTTTTCACACTTTTTTTTGCGCTGCACAAGTAGAATCGATTAAAAATGGTGGTGAGCCAGGAGGATGTAACAAATAGATAAAAATATAAACTATATAAAAAGGACAGTGTTCTTCTCTATGTTACACTGTATATTGGAGCTCAGTAAAGACAACGTTTTGCGTTTTGTCACTAGGTGGTCAAAAGCTTGTAACCGAGCTTCTTATGGCTAACATATATCTAGTGTCTTGAAGCCCACAGGTGCAAAAGAAAAAATTGTGGTCCTCTAGGTGGCACTCAAAAAAAAAAAATTGTGGTCCTCTAGGTGGCACTAGCAGCCCAAATTTGGGCCACAGCCCTGTGGTTTAGAATCACTCTACACTCAAAAGAAGGGCTGTCAAACTCATTTTGGTTCAGGGGCCACATACACCCTGATTAGATGTCCAGTACAATCACTACAGAATTTTCTATAAATAACAATAAGTCCAAAGTTTTTTTCCTTTGTTTTTATGCAAATAAGTTTGAGTATATTTGAAAAAAAAACTGCATATTTAATGAAATATAATTTGACGAAACATCACAAACATGTTTTTTTCAGTTTCAAAATTTGTCAAGCTTGTCAGATTGAACACCCCAGTGGTCCATTTTTGGCCCATGGGCCATATGTTCGACACCACTAAAGAAAAAAAACAACTGTATTTTTAGTCATGTGTTATGTGTCGGAAACTAACAAAGTGTGTTATGAGCCCTATGGCCTGAGTGGAGTGCCTGTGTGAGTGTGGTGTGATTTTGTCTCTATTCTCTGCCAACCTTTGGTATGAACAACCAGGTGTAGCTGATTCAGCTGATTAGAAGAGGCTCACCATGATTGGTTGCCAGGAAGAGTGCCAGAAATACAAAAAAACACCCTCTCTAACTTGCACTTTGGGCTTCTCCCTCACCAAAACCTCTCAAACTTGCACTTTGGGCTTCTCCCTCACCTCATCAACCAACTCTGGTGGCACTGACATTTTGTAGAGATGTTGCCATTTTTGTATGTGTATTTGAGACTGTTTAAGATAAAGATTTGAGAAAGATGTGCTTTAATGATAGATCATAAAACCTAATATAGACAATATGGCAGAAGAATACAATTTTAATATTTGTTGCAGTCCATCATTTGTAGATACAGGTCAACAAAAATGACGAAGGCCAAGCGAGTTTCAGAAATTTCCCCGAGGCACTCTGTGACTGAGGAGACCATTAACTCCTGTTTTTTTTTTTCTTTCATAACACACTGTGACTGAGGAGACCAATAACTCCTGTTTTTTTTTTTCTTTCATAGCAACTCTATACCAACACTTTTGCAGAAACAACCTTGAAAAACAACAAAAACATTTCTTCATCCATGTCCCATTTTATCAGGTTTCACCTCTGCTCTTTATACTTGTTTGAGGAGTTGCTCTCATGTTTAAGATTCATTTTTCTCAGGGACAGTAGTGCACCAGAGAAGGGAGGATGTCTACATTTGTAAAATAGCAGAGCTGTATGTTTTTTTCCCCTTCAAGCTGGGACATACTACAGGTATGGACTGAATGTGAAACAGTAGTTACACATTATCTCATTTCTGAAGCTGTTGTTAATATGAGATAAAAAAAAAATAGTTGTCAGATTGAGTAAAACAAACAAATAAATCGAAATAAAAAAAAACTGAAACTGTAAAACTACCTCAGTGATCCTCTGATTGTGTGTGTGCCTGTGTGTAATTGTGCGCGAATGTGCCTATAATCCTGGTCGAACCAGTCTGACAGGAAGGCATGCTTCTCCTTTTCCAACAGCAACACGGCATAAACAACAGCTCACAGATGGGAGGTAGACAATCCTCACACTCCTCAGTGTCAGTGTCTGTCCCTTCCCGGTATTTCAGAAAATGTAAAGCCTGAGGTCTTCAAAATTCAAATAACTTGCTGATTAGAGCTGATTAAATACAGCAAGAACCAAGGTGCTTGACTATAAAATACAAATAAAATAAAAAAAAACTTAATAAGCAACATAAAATTAAAATTCACTCCTTCA